AGCTCAATCTGGTGCAGGTGTGGGTGATCAGCGCAGTGCCAGGAACAGGAGGCAGGGGGCGAAAACACCAAAATGCCTCACAATATTTTAAAAATCTAATTATTTCAGCCAGTAAGAATCCAAAAATATTATGGGAAACAATTAAGTCAGTGACAGGTGAAAGCAACAATAAAACATTTAATAACAATTCACAAATCTCAGTAAATGGACTTCTTGTTTCTGATCATGAAAAAATTGCTAACTTATTTAATGAATCAGTATTATAATGTTATAATCATTACTGGGACAAGCTAATAGTTTAAAGTTATTTAAATATCCTGACACTTCAAAGCAATTTTCATTTTCTGAAATTTCACAGAGTGATGTCTTGAATACACTCCAATCTCTAAATGGCTCACATGCATTTGACAAATATAAGATAAATATGGATTTCTTGAAAATAGATGCCAACACTTTTTTACCATTGTTTCATCATTTGCTTAATTTATGTATTGTGCAGTCTATTTTCCCTGATGCCTGGAAGTTTGCTCAGATTACTCCCATTTTTAAATCTGGTGATCCAACAGAAGTTTCAAACTATTGGCCAATTTCTGTTCTTGCTATTTTTTCTAAGTTACTTGAAAAAACATTATTTAATCAACTACTTCAGCATCTAGAAGCTAATAATATGCTAAGCAATAGCCAACATGGTTTCTGCACGTCAAGGTCAACCATGTCTACATTAATTTTATTCACTGAACAAATACGTGCTGCTTTGAACAAAGGTCAAGTAACTGGTGCTGTATATATTGATTTTCGTAAAGCGTTTGACACAGTTGATCATTATACTCTCTTACAAAAGTTGATTTCTTTTRAHDTTRRATCATCTGCAATACAAATGTTTTCCTCTTATTTGACTGATAGGTGTCAGGTTGTGAAACATGGAAGCTCTGTGTCTGGGTCTCTGCCCTGTCCCGTGGGAGTTCCGCACGGTAGCATACTGGGCCCATTGCTTTTCCTATTATACTGTACATTATTGACCTTCCAAAAAATATTGAAGTATTCAAATATTTTAATGAATGCTGATGATACTGTTCTTTTTTGTCTGATTTCAATATTGAATCTATTAATAGTCAGTTACAAGCAGATCTTCAGACATTTCATGGTTGG